TCTACTTTCCACCTTTTTCTTCTTCTATGATTATTTGCCAAAATTCCTGTCTCATGTTGTAATGTATGATGATTTTTATCTCGTGCGTATTCAGACGTTCGGCACAATACTAACGAACATAAATAAATAGAACATACGGAACGTTCTATAAATAATTCATTACCATTGAGCTTCGTGATGGCCCGGTATACTAGACGCCCAACTCGAAACAATGTTTACGACAAAGTTTTTAGGAATTATAATAATTAGGATATCGATGTGTTCGTTGTTATTATGAATAATGAAATATTCACGGTGTTGAGTTTGGGGTCGCTCACATAAATTGTTTATTTCCAAAAAGATCATTTACGAAATGGAATTTTATGAACCATCATTACGAAATCCTTGAAGATGTTTCTCGTTTTGAGTATTATTTTTCTGTAAAAAGTCTTCACCTCACTTGTCATCCGCACGCGATGTCAAATTTTTCGAGTCTATTTTTTCCGCTTCAAAAGTGCACACTTTGTAACTCCTTTCACAATTCGCCGACATTTGCTACAATTTCGTACCTCGAATAAATTTTAATTACATCAAAGCAGAGTCTCGTTATGAATGAAAATTATAGCCAGTAAAGTCTGTCTAAACACGTATTAGTTACCGTGTAATTTTAACATTTTATTATTATTTAACAACCTCGGCTTTCCTGTTTTGATTCCATATGTGAAACGTAAAATTATGGAAACGATTTACTGCAACTTTATGATACCTACAGCTCGTTTGAAACAAAAACGTGCATTTCTCCGCATCATCCCATAAAAGTCTAAACATAATAACCATTCGTCACAGAAATTTGCATAATTTCTACATGATATCGTGAAACTTGAAACATCTACGAGTAAAAAAACATCGTTTTTGAATGTCTTCATTATTTTCTCGCATATACAACAGAAACTATTTTAAAGACTTCATTCATCGAATCGTCGCAATGTTTCAGATTCTCCTAGACATTCCACCGCTTCACATTGTATCACGGCAGTGACCGAGTCTGTAATAGACATTCGTGTTAACAATAGTCAAGATGTTATTAATTTTTAATACAAATAATAAGAATTTTTAACATATTTTTCTCAATTACACCACCAATTTTTGTTCCTGTTGAAATCAATTAAAATCATAATTAATCATAACAACCTGTTTTAGACGTTTTGATACACTTCCTATAACGTAAGTCGAAACTGAATTCCACTGTCACCCACAATTGCGACAGGTGAGAAAAGAAGTATCAATTTACAGTATCGCCCTCGATAAAAAACAATCTTTTCATTTCTAAATTTATGAGGCGTTTCAAAGGTGAACAAACGTCATTGAATTTCAAACTTCATTATCGAATTAATTATAGCATTATAGTTTTTTTTAAAGCGGAAACATATTTCAAATTTATTAATTAATATTCCTTAGAAACGTAGAAGATAAATTATAAATAACAATTTAATCGGGTGTTTAACAAATCCAATTATTTATTCTGCCGGTTCAGGATGATGGCAAAGTATTTACATTGCTACCTTCTCTAGAGGACCCCTGACAAGTTAATGAAATCTACAGGGTGTTTCATCTAAAAATTACCCCTCATGAAATCGTTTTATTACGACTATTTTTAAAGCCTTACTAAATTTAGTCAAATATTTTTGAAAAAGAAATTTTTTTAATTATTTTTTGGAATTCAGTAGGCTCAGTAAAACACGTATTTAATGCAAATTAGAAAAACAGAAGTGGCATTCTTTTTTGTATTATTTCAAAGGTACTCTTTCTTTTACATGAACTGAGAACATGGCAACACAATAAAAACCCACAGGAACCTATAAGGAGAGGCCGAGGGGGATTAATTTTAGACACTAATGCGGCATAGTTAAATTTTGATTCTGGACATTTTTTCCCCAGAGTGCTTATTTTCCGAAATATTTGAAAGTTTCAGGTTAAAAAAATCGCCCTGTATACAAATTGTATCGTCCTAAATTTAGTGTTAAATTTGGTGACAGATTTTTAAAACTAACTTGATGTTGTGATCTTTTATAATCAAATTAGGTGTGGTGTATCAGTGCACCCATATTTTTTAAAACTGCTTATACAGGATGTGTAAAAAAAATGAATGCAGCAACATAATTTACCATCGGAAATGACTTATCTTATTTTCCTGAAATTCTGGGAATACAGTCGTTATTAATATTAGGCTGGGTTCATCATCGATCATCAAACAAATTTTACAATTTATCCAAGGAACTGAATTTATTCGATTGAGCTCCAGGTGCGAGAGAAATACTGAATTTTTACTTTGATTCTATTATTCCAAAAAGTCTGTAGTAGTTGGTTTTTAAACATGAAGCTAACATAGTTGTTTTAGAGCTCTACATTTTTAGAAAAAAAAAAAAAAAAAAATGAAAAAATGCTGCATGGGTGCAACCGGGTGCTTCAACTTGTGCAAGTAGTAATTTGCATGAACAGCCTGTGCTAAAGCCTAACTGAAGCTGTTGAAGCTTCCAGTCACGTGTTGCCTAGCCAATGCTAACGATAAGTTCGTTGCCCACGTGTTTTTATTACTGCAGCTGTTTCGCGATGTTTATGAACGAACTTAAAACGTACATCGCCTGATGCCGCAAAACTTTAATAACTCGAACAGTTTTTAAGAAAAAGGCACCAAAAAGTCCGTTTTAAGCGTCTGTTTTGCTACACACTTTGCAAGTTGAATATTAAAAATTCCAAGTTGTTCCTTTACGCTCTAACAAAATAAAAAATGTATTAAATTCTCAAACACAAAACGATATTTCAATTAAAGTGTCGACAACCTTAAGTTATCAGACTCAACTGCTAAGATTTGTATACATACAATAACTGATTATTACGGTTTAAATTACCGAAACGTCAACCTATGAAAAGAATAGAGATATAAACATGGGAGTTTTAATGATCGAACATTTTCTAAGCAACAACATATCTTCTTGTGCAATCTTATAAAAATTGCTCAGGTAAATTACTATGACACGATTAAAACGTAAAATGAGCTTATAACATACCAAAATAATTTTAATAAACTAATGGACCCGTATGGTAGACGATCATAAAATTCAATTGCACGTCATCCATTCCATTTAATTTTAAACCAATCTGAATTCAGCTTGGCGTAAAAATTATTATAACCATACGTGTTTCCTACAGTGTGCTTACTTAAATACAACGTTTGTAAGTCAGAAGGTTTTTCGTGTACGTTTGATAAAATCTCTCACAAACTCATATCATTATTATTATTATTACCTCATTTTATAACTGCTTTTAAAAACAAGGATTAAATACGGTAAAATAGCTTACAAAATTGATGTGGTTAAATAACAAGATTTTTTATATTCTTTCCTACAAAATTTATCTCCCAAAATTAAGAACTTCAAAAAATTTTTTTTAATCAAATTTTTAGAACGAATTTTCATTATTTTGATATTTTTAAGCTACTTTTTCTGATTTTTTACAATCTTCACCGTCAATATAGATATATGCAATTGTACATGAAAGGCAATGGTTTATCAGATAAACCTTCAGAATTAATTTAATATTCCATTTTGCTTTACAAATTTCGAAGTGAGATCAGGTTGCAATGTTACAGGTAATTTCATCTCAACTTATAAAAAAATTCTAAATCTAAATACATGTATTGGAAGCAACTGTTTTCGTAACGGATTAAAACACATTTACAAAAATGCGTTTTAAGAAAAAGTATACATATAAATAATTTCAATTATCATATTTTTCACACAACAGTTACTTTACATGGCAACAGAATTTCTAGGACTGTTGGAATGCAATTTTCAAATCGTATTAGTCGCAAATATTGTTTTTAATTCTCTGTAAATTTTGTGTTATTGACAAGACATTAATCTTCAAAACAAATCCGCTTAAATACAACGATGTCTTCATTTCCAACTTTGCGATGTCTATAAATAAACTTTACAGACAGCATTTTCAAGTAAATTTGACAAACCAGTGCTAAACACTGTTTTAAATATTTGTCAATTTGATCTGAAATTCTGCTATTTCTATCCGAATCAACTTCGTACATAACTGCTCTTCTTCAAATTGCCGTTAATTCCGAAGTAAACAAATATCCAATAGTCGAAAAATTTAAAGAATTAAAACCACAATACAGTAGTAGATAACGTAGGAGCATTTAATTAGTTAGATTTTTTTGTTATTAGAAAAAAACAAAAAGGACAATAATTTTTGTTTTTTTCTAATAACAAAAAAAAAAAATGCAATTAAAACCAAATTAGTATAGTTTTGGCTAACTCGTTGTGCTCCACTTTTTTATAGTTCCAACTCCAATTTTTAAGTTGAATTTAATTTATAAAACATCCGTTGTTTAGTTTATATTCAACCCTGTATATAACATAGTATTATGTAATATTTTAATATTTTTAAAAAGGAATATAATTAATAATAATTATATTTAACATGTTTTTTTTGCAGAAGGAAACCAAGCAAAAAACGAATGTGTTTTATTAATAATCCATCCATGCTATTGCATTTAAATGACATTTGACAGAGTTGTTGAAACGTGTTATATTTTTTACATGAAAAAGTAAGCTGGTACCATTCCGCGTTGTCAACTGTCATCGATTAAATTTTCACACACACCCGATATTTACATTTAATTATTTACTGTTATATTCTTGGACCATGAAGCGAATAATACTACCACTCTAAATATAACCAAACCTCTCTTAGCTAAAATCGAAGTTGGATTATAGATATTGTAGATACAATACAGCTTCGGACCTGGCTAATGACCCAAAATCCTAATTGTTGTTAAATTGTTTGTGTGATTATCCGTCACAGACACTTGTTAAAGCAATTACAGTTTTAACTTGGCCAGAGAACACTGAAAAACTTGTGTCTCTCGGGTCCCCTTTTAGTTCAGTCCACGATCCGCCCGAGTCTTTTGGTCGTGAATATTCTTAGCTAATTATGCACGCACTTACCATTTTAATAATTTCAGGGTAGACAGGTTCGGTTAAAACCCCCCGACCACCAGTTATATAATCCACTAATTCGTTCAGGGTACAACGTTTCACTTCTTTCCCTTTCAGGTCCGCCACGGGATCCATAAAGTCGAATGGCACACAACATTGTCTAAGTTTGCGAATAAACAACTCCTCCTGCTCGGATGCCGGGACATCTGCAACAACAAACGCCAACTGTAAAGTTCATTCTCTCTTTGAATAAACAAAAAACGGAAAAACTCACAAAACGTTGGCAGAAGCAAGTTCAACACTAGAGACAACATAAGGTCGTTCTAGAAGCACCCCATTTCGAAAAATGATTTAGTACTCGGTTCGCATGTAAAAATTATCGATTGTCGGACTCCCACATGAGCCATAATTCACAAGGTTCTGTTTGTTGAACGTTCTAAATATGGTGAATTTACAGATCGCAATCATAATATTTAATGATTAATCTAGTTCTATATTTGGCGCGTATGAAGGGTCACGAGTTTTATGGACGAGATAAATCGTCACCTATTCATAAAACCTGGGCACAATGGGAATGAACGGGTTGGGAAAAAGTGCCACCTGTTTACCACCGAAAACACGACATGTGCGATTGTCAAATGGCAGCCATATATGGAGTTCAAAAAACGCGTCTCATTGTCATTATTTACCGCCTTAAGTGGAGCTCTGGTATTTGCTTTTAGGGTGTATCGATTTTATTCACGGATAGGCTGTGGGCAGTGTCGAAGTAATGATGTTATGCAGGATACGGCAGGAATTTTCAGACAACAAAGGCAATCTATGCACATTAATTAAAATGTAGAACGATATTAATAGGCTCTCCTGGTTTATTACGAAAAAAGCAGCACAGGTTTATGCAACCCACACTCTGAAACTACACTGTTATTATCTCCGCGATAATTTTATTTTTCAAAAACCAAATTTCGGTCATACTTCAGCTGTCATCAAATATGTAATCACCATACACGTGTTAATGAAAACAACCTGTTTGGTAAATAAATCCTGATTATTAAACCAATTTAGAGGCACGCTAAATATTCTGTATCAACTAAAACAGTTTATTTATTGGCTTTACCTTGAATTTTATAAATTCATCAAAAACATGTCACCCATTATGATTAATAACAGGAGCGTCTCCTATAAAGTAGAAGGTAAGAACACACTGAACCCTAGTAAAGTGGCACCATCAGGCTATAATTGATTTATTATTGCTATTTACCAACTCAAAATTGGATCGTTCCTCAAACTATAAAGGCCTGCAGATCAATAACAACACACTACAAAATTCAAACATATCTTTAGGACAAATTATAATGCAAGCGAAGCAGATTGATTCTAAATCGAAATTAATACTTATTTCTTCAGCTCGAGCTTTCAAGATGCTAAAATCCCTACAATGATGGCACGTTCCTGCTGAATGTTACACTGTGATGCTCGAAAAGCAGCACACCAAAGAAATGTAATGTCAAACTGAAGATTTGGGGCAGCGTTGTCAGATGTTTTGAATGCAACACCAATAAATTAACTCGTCACTTTTTACAATTGTTGTTTCCAATATATCAAAAATAGTTTTTGCACTGTATTTATTTCTTTGCTTTATTTTCATTACATTTATTACCGAGGAATGTGGAAAAAATTATATATCAAAATTAGTTAAAACATCAAATATCTGTCTAAATTTCTCTAATTTTTAACACAAAAAAAAGCTACTAAATATGGAACTAAAATTGCTGACAAAAATTTATGAAATCATTCTAGATTCTGCAACAACTTGATCTCTAAACGTAAATTTTTGGAAGATTATTTTTAAAGGGAGTCATTGTATAACAGGCTTCGACGAAAAAGTCGAAACATCACAACCTAAAAAAAGGTATTACCTATGTATTAAAATGTTGCGATGTTTGGATACAATTAACATATATTTTCAGAAATTGTTTCTATTACAAAGCTACTAATAAAACAAATATTTACAACTGGGAAACAGTTTCTAGTATTCCTATGATCTATGTATATTCTCCAGTGGACTATTATCCAAATAACTTCGATTCATAAAATATGAAAAAAATGTTCATAAAATATTACAAATACATATTTTTGACATATTAAGTGGATGTTTGGAGATTTTTCCTGTATTTCTTTATTTACATAAAGAATTTAAAGAATATACAAAATAAAAATTTTAGTGACCACAATTTGATTTTTCATTAGATTTGTAATGTAAATCGGTGGAGTAGTAAATGTATCCCAAAATCGGTAAATATGGCAACTCTTGGTTGCCTGAGTTAAGAAAAGTCTGCAATTATTAATTCACTGTTTAATCTTTGTTACAAAGTTATATTTATCTTTTTCCGTCAACTCATTTGCAACGAAAATGTGACTTATTACACAGTGTAGAGTTAATTGATGACTAAGTAACTCCAACCCTAGCAAAACTATACTTTTCGCCGGTTTCGCACGTGGAACTCATCAATGATGTTCCACCAATAGGGTACGACAAAATGTATTTTAAAAAATTCAGACCACTCGATTTAACCATTACTTGACCCAGTTCTAACTGGGCGCTCAATTACACCAGTGAAACAATTAACACTTAGTCCTCGTGTACTTCCTTGCGAGAAGTTTCAGCACAAAAGTGAAAAACAAACAACTCTTTAATTATGTAAGTTTCCGGATGCGAAGGACCGCCATTCATTGTAACAGGACAAAGGCATTTTCATTTTTTATGTGCGGGACGCAGGATTTTTCTTTAATTTTTTAATTTGAAAGAACATAGATTTACGCTACACCAGGAGTAACAGGAGAGCATTATTTTCTCCCTACTGTTTGTTTTGACGTAGTGTTTAGAATCGATTTAGAGACATCACTCGCCCTTTCACTGATAACTATTTTCATGACCTAATGAACAGTTGACGTCACTCAGTGTGACGTTACCGATGAAAATAATGCAGGTAATGTAGTAAACAAATTCTTTTGGTCAGGCGATTGGAACATTTAATTAGTTTTTGGATTACTAAACGCTATATTTTAAACTTTTTTAAAAAGTTTGTGCAAATTACTACAAACATGTAAGTATGTAAGTAATATACCAGATGTTCGACTGCTTTGACAGTGTCTTTGCGAACGTAAGGCGTAACATACGTAGTACGTCGAATAAAATAAATGAACACATCTAATTTCCACATGAGGTCGTTCTTATTGATGGCATATCATTATGCCGTAACTGAACCAATCTGACGGAACAAAATAAAATTGATGTTTTAGTTTTATTTTCAATATTTTCAAAGTTATTCAATATACTGAAATCTGTATATTACAAAATGAAAATATTGAAGTACGCTGTGTCTTTTTTATGTAAAAAGCAAAGGCTTGCCTAATTTTTAAAAGAATTTGAAAAGATCTTGGGAGCCCTAGTATCTTTTTTTTAATTTATCCAAAAAACTGAAGTTGTTTTATTGCCTGTGCTGCAAGGGCCGAAGAATTTCTGTCTAAACAACTTTAGACAAAATTTTTTTAAGTAAAACTCCATTAAAAATATTTTGCAACAAATGTATGTTACCACAAAACATCGAAGACTATTAAGCTTTTTTTTGGTTGTCCACATTTGCTATTGTTACGATGATTGGGAATTAAAATCGGTGTGGGTTAAACTTAACAATTTATTTCTTAATAACTCGGCACGACTTGTCTGGCTCTTCTTAACATTCGTTGGACTTGACTCGGCGGAATAATAATCGTTCCCGTGAAATCTATTTAAACAGCACGCGGTCCTACGCCTACGTCACCGTTTCTGTACTTCTCCGGAACCCCCATTCGCGACTTCCGTTTCCAGGTCTTTCTTTAGCGAACGCCGCTTCGACCAGCCAAAGAGTCATACTACACACTAGAAGACCCGTAGGCGTCATACCGGGGCGGCGTATGGGTTTATTTCGTAACACTGTAATACCCACCTGAAAACACAAGTTTTGAAGTCGGGGAACTATTAGAAATGTAATGTGTAAAAGTAATCTTTATTCCAAACTTAGTTGATAAGAAGAAAAAATTAAATTTTAGGGCCAATTTATTCCAGACAATGGACGTTTCAATCATTAATTGTGCCGTTTTTCAGGTATAATAAAGTTAATGACTCCACCATAACAATAACATAATAATGAATGTAATAGCAATTTTAATTATAGGAAAAAAGACGGTTAACGACTAATAAACTGATTGAGTTGCCAAGTACAATATTTTTGGCTTTCTTTGAAGCATCTTCAGAATTTCGTATAGAAAAATTTTGCACGACTTTTCCAAGGTGACTGCAGAAAAATGACTGCGTTATCAGTTATCACATATCCTGAACTTACTAAAATTTATATCAATCAATTTCAGTTCAAAAACAAATAAAAGACGTGGGCGAACAATGTGGATTTTCAATTTCAATATTTTAGTACATTTGAGTAGACTGGTGTCCTTGTTAATAACTAAGTTGATCAGACTTTTAATGCGAATTGAACCAAAATCAATTGTAGTTAATTTAACATATACACGAAACCACCGAAAAATAACAAATGCACCTTTCTCATTTTTACGGTAGATGTCACCGACTCGATAACGATGAATGTACACCTCTGCAGAAATTGTTGAGGATTAATAAGACTTTAAATTTTTATTAGTCGTATAAAGATGGGGGCACAAATACTTGAGATCTTGAAGACCTTGAAGTTGAAGACAGTGTACCTCTGTACGGACAAAGCCAAACCCAAACCCATTAAAAACCAGTAATGTTCTTATACATACTTATATTGAGTCGTCCCATAAAATTTTTCAGTTGCATAACTTCACACTTCTCCCAGTTACTGGTGGAATAAATGCTTACTGGTGTAAAAAAATGTATGACTTGGGCATGATTGCCTAGAAAAACGATACTTTAACAGGGGGAGTTTTTCTTATCGTAAAACTAGAACAAACATGATTCTGGACATATTTTGAAATTAGTGCAAAAAGTAATAAAACAACAGACCATTCGACAAGAGTCTCTTTTTCATCAATATGAGGTTTTGCTTTCCGGGACAATAAGAAAAATACCTTCAAAGTAAATACCATAGTAACACTGTTTAAAACGAAAGCAAATAGTACTCAATTTTATTATACCTTATGAGAGAAAACTTTCCCAAATAAACAAAGGATC